ATGTGGGATGGATGGTAAAGATGACACATTGGTGGACTGACCACGCTGCTAGCATGGCAACAAATAAATGCCAAAAACAAAGTGAATCAGGAGCAATAGAAAAAATTAACTGCACAGTTTATTTGAAATTAGTATGAATTCTGGGTGAAACAACTGCATTTGAATGATTGAAAATGTTGCATTATGATACTTTATAATCCAGAAGTAACTAACATTAAAAGTACATAACGGTTGAGCTGGCTTTATTTGTTTGGATATTATTTGTCTTAGATAATATTCGCCATGCTTTCATTAAGTTAACTATACGTTTTTTATGTGTTTTATTGCCAGTAAAAATGTCTCCAGTATAGCTAGCTAACACTAACTTGATGCCGTCTTTCTAGACAGAGCATGCGCTGTTGTCCACAAGATGACCATTCTTCTATGTTGTCCTTTGTCATAAATGCAGATGTGGAATAAACCTGCTGTTACCACAAGCCTGACCAGCTCCATGAGATTCATTTAGCCAGGAGACATCTCACAGAGGTTACACTCGCGGACAGCAAACAATAAACAAACAAAGAGCGTTAGATCCCTGAATTCTCCACAAAAACAGCAGCTTGTGAAATGCACGTAGCGTGTCTAAACTCCAAACACATAGAAGCACATAAGCAACATCCTGAGGAAATCGCCTCTCCTTTAAAGTAACTGTAACGAGACATCAAAGCTTGGACTGCAGGGGGAAAAAGTTGGATGTGTGTGAGATTATGTAGGTTTTCATGTGTGCAAGAAAGCTTCTATTAAGACGTAAAACCTCACAGACTATGACTAAGAATTCACGCTTAATTTCAATGTTATCAAATGTAGGAGCCACCCAGTTCTGGTATGTCTAGGGATTTCCTCAGATTTGATTCCTTTGAATTTAGGCAAATAACAGGAAAACCTGACTATTGAGGCCAGCAGATACAATGAACCCCCACCGACGACTTCTCGTCTGAGTAACCGAGCCATTTCCTTCTGTGAAACCAGAGGCCCGCTGTACTTGTTAGAGGAGGCGTAGCCATGGGAGTGGGTGAAGACTTGGATTTACATGACTGAATGTGGTCACTTTCACTGGAGGGGCAGCTATTGTCACTTGAGTGGGTCAAACACATGAAAACATACAAAGTGGGATTAGTTATTCACACTCACTCACTGTTTCACAAGAATATTAACATATTCTCCTGTTTTATCTATACTCTTTATACCACCAGTTATGTCATATTTCCGACACTGATGACTGACACAAAATCCCACCAACTCACTGGAACTGGAACAAAAATCAGAACACATATCCACTCAAGGTTGACAGATGCCTCTGCTGCCAATACAAGACTTGAATTGGAATTTTTAACACACTTGTCATACCATACGAGGACAAAAGAGACGGCAACTCCTCCTATCGTGTTCTCTGTTGTCGTTGAGAACAGAGCAGAGTCACCCGTACATCCAGTTACCGTTCCTGTTTTTCATATCTCCACGCCTCATCTGACTTCCCCGTACAGGTAGACGCTCTGCTGGAACAGAGCGCATTGGTGTGTTTGGCATTCGAGTAAATAACAACAAAAGCTGGTGTGACTAGATATGAGGTTGGCAGGATTATGTAACAGTCATTTCTCAACTTCTGACTTTGATTTTGTTTCTTTATTCTCTTTCTTTTGACTCAGCGAGAGAATTTAATTTAAGAACGATAAGCAGCAATAACTATAACTTACAAGACAAACCAGTAACACAAGACATGCTACAATATCAGAATTAAACAGAAATGCAATTATTAAATCTTGAAAAAAATAGTGAGTGCAATCATGGGACTTTACAAAAACCCCTTATAAAAATAAATAAAACCTATAATGAGGCTAAAGGACCCTAAAACGATAGTTTGTTTTAAATATTTGCTTCCAAAATGTGCTGTAAAAAAACTATTCTTTGTTTATTTATTAGATATTTTTTCTTTATCTATGGGGAAACATATTCTGGGTTTTATATAAATTTGTTCAGCACGTATTTTAACAAGACTATAAGACTTGCTAGCAGTTCTGTGAGGCTGTACTTATTAGCACAGTAGCACTTATATAGCTAAATGCTAACATCAACATGCTAACGTACTCAGAGGGACAATGCTAACATGCAATAATAGTAAAACGTTCACCATCTGAGTTTAGTCTGTTAGCATGCTAACACTAAACACAAAGTCCAGCTCACAGTAATGGTTTTGTTTTCACGCTATAGCAACGTAGCTAAAACGTGATTGACAGCTCCGGTAATAATCACATTGTGTATGAAGTTCATGGCGTTCAAAGCACCGGTTGTAATGGTGGCAGGGACAGACTGTGATGTTCTTTTTGCTTCGATAGGACTCTGATAGTAAAACGTAACGCTGCCTTCACTGTCGACAGACACATTGATATTTGATTTACAGCAGTTTGGAAAAAGGGGAACTGGTTATAAAACATTTCTGCCACGGATGGGTGGGAGCTTCTAGAGACAATTGACTTCCTAAATTGCAAAGTGTTTGCCCTGCTTCCAGCAATAGCGCTGTTACATCCCAGTTCAACTTGGCAAGACACCGTATGACAACTGGATCAGAGGTCACAACCCCGTGAATACGATGGTGACTGTTGCAAATGAACCAGATAACTCAGGAAACCTGCAACGCCCCTGGTCTTTACTGTGAATTATAAGCTAATCTCTTCGTCAAACGCTTTGGTTTCTCTCTCTCTCTCTCCGCGACTAGCTCCTGTCTTTTAAAGCTTCCTCGGAATCCTCAAATTTCCTTCCAGCTTAACTGTGTTGACTTTGACTGTTCAAGGAGCTGCTCTTATCATGAGGTGTTGCTTTCTTCCCATTTTCCTTCTAACTGCCTCTTGCTGTCGTCAGAGAGTCTCTTTGTTTCCCCACAATAACTTGTAATCACCTCCTGGGGGGATTGGAAAACTTGGCAGGTTTCAGTCACAAGTAGCAGTCAAGACATTTGAATTAATGGCTGCCAATTAGTTTCTGAACAGTTGGGCGTGTCTCCACTAGCACCCTCACCCACGGATAATAACGTGGCTAATTGTTGAATTGGCATCATGGAGACTAAAAAGGACTTGGGGATTGATGGTGGTGTATTTAGCAGGACAAGTTAAACTTTTGACTTGATGATGGTGATAGATAAAAAAAAAGGTTAAGAGCTCACCAGAGTTATTGGGTTTCATCTTGGTGGGAACATTGATTTCTGTACTAAAGCTCATGGCATATAGTTGTCGAGACATTTAACTAAAAAACAAAACCTTATGGTGGCAATGTAGGAAAAGTCTTAGGATCACCAAAGTCTTTGGGATACATCGTCTGGGAACCATAAATGTACCACATCTCCCATCAATCCATCCACTAGTACATAGAGTCTCTGTAGCATAATGCCATTTTGCCAAACAACCAAATAGGGCTGAAAAACACGAGGTACATTGGCTGTTGCTTTCGATAAACAGTGAAAGCTTTAAGGGGGATTGAACCAGTAAAGCTCAAGAGCTGCAGCTGCACTCCCGCCTCTGCTACGGTTCGGATGCTGACTCTGTCTGCGTTGCCCGTTGTGAGATGCGTAGAGGAGGGCGGGTGCCCGTCTGAGATGGTCCATTATGTCACTGGTGCCCCAAGAACAGCTCCAGTGTGTCCTTACAGGCACTGAGGCGTTCAGTGTGACGTTCAGAACTTAACTGTTGTTGGGCCAAACCCAGAAGAAACAGGGGCCCTACTGTTTCCCTACATCAGGCACACCCACCCACACACACACACACACGCACACACACACACATGCAGATGCACAGACGCATGCACACATGGAACCGTTTAAGGTTTTCCCTTCTGCCACTGTTCAAAATGCCCCCAGAATAAACACTTGAAGCAGATCTGAGCCAGTGAGGCCAGTGATCCCCATTAGAGACGGGCTGTGACGCAATGTGAAGGTAATGAAAGGTACTGGGTTTCAGATGTTTCCTCACCCTCGTTTTGTACTTGTACTTGAAGTAAGTAATGTGAACCCTTCAGTCGGCAAAGCATAGCCTCCTGGCCTTGTGAATGTCATTAAAAGCCGACATATGTAACGTTATATTCAAATGAATTCAGACAAAGCTTTTCAATTAGTGCTGACATTATTTGTCGATTAATACGTTGATTGATTGACTGAGAATTGAATAATATTTTTGATAATCTGTTATAAGTGTCAGTTAGTTTTAAAAAACAACTAAATAGGATACTCTCGGTTTAAAAAAGAATGTTGATTGGATAAAACAAGACCTTTGAAGATATCAGCTTGGGGAAATGGGCATTTTTCACTATTTTCGGATATTTCGATAGACTAAATAATTAAACGACAGATTGATTCTTTATTGCAGCTGTACTCTCAATTAAAATCGTACTGATGGATTAATCGCCTTGTACGCAAGAGCATTTACCAGTATTTATTTTGACATGCTAAATGGCATTATAACATTATTCAAACAACCCACAGAACTTTTATTTTTTATTCTAGTCGAAAGCCCAAAATTTCCAAAACAAATACCTCAGGCTGAATATTTTGGGGAAATTTGTACGAAATGTTGCACAAGCCATCTGGAACATGTCCATGTAAAGAAACAATATGGAGTCCGGGGTTTGAATAGTGTAAACATCATATTTGCTTCCACGGAGAGCAGAACCAGCATTTATAATACTCATATAATACTCTCACACAGTGGGAAATGTGTTGAGAAGCTTAAACCTGCTGCAGGTAACATTCACTGGAAAAACTGTCATGTGATTATGTAAATAAACGAGGTATGGCATAAATCCTGCAGAAAACACCAGTGCCAGTAAAAGACAACATGTTTGTCCATTGTTGTAAATCTCTCTTCTATTGTAAATCATCACCTCTTCCACCCCCCCCCTTCAGACCTCCTCGCTGCTCTGACACAAGTGCTCGTCCACGCGTGTGACGAGCTCGCGCCTACGCGGTTTTAAGACGCTTGTCCCGCGAGCGCTCTGATTCACTCAACTCATAACCGTCGGCTACAAGGCAGAGGAGAGCATGAGCCACCCTGCACATGAACTGTCTCCGTCGGCAAACTTCTCGCTCTCGTTTCTTCCCGATACCGAAAGCGCGGTTGATCGATTTATTCTTAAATTAATTGATAGCAGACTTCCACCTGACCAGCGTGTTTAAAACAAACATCCCGGAACTCTGCTGTTCACCTGAGACGCACGAGGACATCGTTTGCATGAAACTGTCAGGTAAGACACATTGTTACAAAAGTACAAAGGATAATTTAAGTAGCAATATAACGACTGTTATGCTACTTTAATCATTGTTTCTGTCATATTGTTAACATGCGCACAACATGTTTTACTGCTTTTTGACAGTATTGCAGGAGACGCTCCGGGGCTCGCCGAACCACGCGCTAAAATCTGACAATTTTAAAGTTATCTCGCTTATTTCTGAGACTATTCGTGGCACCGCATGTTTATTTAGCTGTTTAGGTAATCACTAGGCGGGGTTGGTAAATTCGGCATACAAGGAAGTGGAACATAAATTAAAGAAAAGTATTTTTTTCCGAATAGTTTGTTTCTTCATCAGTTATTAGTTGAGATGAACCAAACAAATGTTTGATCCAAGTTCTAGCTTGTATGGTGAATCCTTAATTAAATAAAGAATGGATCTTAAACAGAACTGCTTAGTTGACATTTGTCTGTAGGCTGTATTTGTATATTAGAATAAAGTTTGGGGCAGGAATCTCTCATTTGATGTTTTAAGTTAAAAACGAGCAGAAATATTCTGTCCACTTCCAAAGTTACTTCCTTCTATAGCTGCTACAGGATGGACTGTTTGGATACCAAAGCTCTTTGCACATGACGGGTTGAGTTATTTATTCAGATGTGTTTACATTGTTTATTTAATGAGCTTAGCCATGTGTCCTGTGACAGGGGAAGTCAGTATTGTACAGTAGCCTTGGTTTAATGCAAATATGTAGCTGTGCGTGTGTGTGTGTGCGTGTGTGTGTGTGTGTTAAGTGAAAGTTGTGTACATGTTTGTAACCCACACGTGTAACTGTATGTGTGCATGCCATAGGGTCGGCCGAGGGTCTAGCTCAACTTGCATCTCCTCTTGTGCTGTGACACACTCACAAAAACATGCCATTGTTTGTAGGAGAAATATTGTTTTCGGGTGTGTGGGGGGGTGTGGATGCACAGCTGTTTCCTGCACGGGGTGGGGGGGGGGGTTTGATTAACAATGACCGCCATCTCGGGAACAGTCGGTGGTTCTCTCGGCAAACTCACTTCTGAGGAGCTGGGACATTTAAAGAATGCCCAAGAAAAGAGAAAGGGGGGAAAAAATAAAGTTTCAACACAATGGAGAGCAGGCAGCGCTGTGGGTCGGTAGGATGGGAGACAATGGGAGGCCAGATGTGGACGTTGCACAACACTTGAGTTTGTGAGGTCACACAGACCTTCATGTCAGTGCATTTGAGTTTAGAGAGGGCTCTGTACCTGCGATTATCAGCGTGAGTAACCCTCAATTTAATCTTCTCAGTGTATCACTGTGTCTCTTAAGGGACACGCTGCTGTGAGGACAAAGCCCAGAGCCATAGTCAATATTTAATGGCTGCTGTCTGTGGTGAATGAATGTTTCTCACTCGTGCGTCACATCGGTGACTGATCCTGTTTGGTGGCCTTTTTGTTTTTCCATGCTGCAGTACAAGTTGTGCTGACTGCATGTGTATTCAAAGAGTCATAAGCGTGAGTTTGTACAAGAACTGTAACAACCGAAGAGTCGCTTAATACCAAACAAAAACCTGTGTCAAAACAATCCATTCCAAGGATTCACCCTCGCCGTTCCCTTTATTCAAGTGTGAACAAAGCTTTAGCATCTGTCCCGCTCAATTATTCATTCATCTGCTAACGTCACCGTCTTTGTCTCCCTCATTTCAGATAAAAGCAGTGGATGCAACTCCGCTCCCTTTATAGAAGAAAGGTGGACGAGTGGGACAGCGTCTGAAGAGGACCAGCTGAGCACCGGCGGAAGCGCCTCGGCTAAAACTCCCTCCAAACAGAGCCTGAAGTGCACCATGTCCCTCAGCACTTTCCACCTCATGCAGACTCTTAAGAACTCCCCAGCCGCGCTGCGTCGCCGCTTTCGCCGCGACCGCACCGAGTCTCTGTCCCACGGTGACCCTCTCTTCAAGGTCCACTACCTGGGCATGGAGAAAATCTTCTCCCTAGACCGAGAGCAGGCCCAGGACGCCATCAGCCGCTTGCTGGAGGGCGTCGCCAACGGCAAGAAGCTGAGCAAAGACCACGCCCTGGTGGTGCGGCCGAGGTACGTGGAGGTCAAGGAGCTGAGCACGGGCCGGCAGCTCACCAAGACGTACCTGCAGGACATCGCGTACTGCGCCGCCGACGCCACCCGGCCCAACGTCTTCTTGTACATCTGCAAGCACCAGGGGCAGCAGCTGCAGTGTCGGGTGTTCTGGTGCAGCCGGGCGGAGCGGGCGCGGGACATGACGGCCTGCCTGGCGCACTCCTTCCAGCGGGCGCTGAGCGACTGGCAGCAGGACGTCCCGGCCACGCTGCGGCCGGGAGAGGTGAAGGGGAAGCGGGCGGAGGAGTCGTCGAAGTCTCCCGCCATCGCTAAGAGTTCCACGCTGCCTGCCAGTCTGGGAAAAGGTGAGGCGTAACAGTGACGGCTCTCTTGTCCATTCACAATGAACTTTTAAACACCAGCGTTCACTTTTCATTTGCAGCTGACTCATCACCCAATGTGTCTTTCTCTTTTCTAGTTCGCTGGAAGAAGAGAAGCTGCTCGGTGTCTCGCAGCCCCCTCAGAGCCATCACGAGGAGAGGGTCTGCCTCTGACAGCTGGAGCTGAACCCCCGCTTTAACCCTTCAAACATGGGACCACGTTAAACTGACGCTCTGGAAAATGGGGAAAGTCCATATATGGATGTATGAGGACTGGATGTTGCCTTAATCAGTGAGCATATGGACCTGAAGGTTTGCAGCACGTCTAATGTAGAACAGAACGCTGTTGGTGGCTGCCTTTGTTCACACGTCGACGGCTATGTGAGGACTTGTGACTGGTTCCAAGCCATTTGAGGACGGGACTGGTTCCTTTCTGTGGCTCCTTCTCTTTTATTTTTGGTTTGCTTTGTTTGTTTTAAGTCTACTTGACACTTTAGCCGCGGAGGAGTTTTTCCTGTTGGAAAGAGACGATTAAAACAAGGATAGCAGCTGTTGGCCAAATGATCCACGGATGACAACCAAAACCTGGCAAAAAAGATGACGACAGCTTTTATTTTTTTAAGGCGGATTTTTATTTAACTGATATTTGTGACAGGTCATGATGATTTCATTTTATTATTATTGTTATTATTTTTAACCCTTTGGCACTGGTATGTTTCTCTTTTATTCTGGAATCGCTGTGAGAGTTTTGGCCTTATGATTATGTCGATGTCAAGATACAGACAGAAAAATGCAGGCACGTCATTCAAAACGTTCATTATAGTCCGTAATGCACATTATGCAGTTAGTCAGTGTTGAGCACTTTCTGTAAAATATGACATCTAAACACATCAGTTGAATTCCTACTCAAGAAATCCAGTTTTATCTTTTCTTACATTTTGAAGAAGCCAGTAGAAGCAGCACCTGCATCATAAAAAGACCTGAGCAGAACCTGCACGGTCAACAAAATCCTCCCTGTATGCACCACAGCAGCATCCTGCAAACCCCCCCCCCCCCCCAAAAAAAACAGATCCCGACTGTCCACTGCGATGAATTAATTGCATTTATGTGGTGAAAAGCACACTCGGCCATGACTTGCGGGTTTGTGTCCGAACACTGGGAACGCTGTGTTCCCATGTGGCGCCTCTGTGCGGAATGCTCGGCCATGCACCTGCATTCCAAATGGGGAGGGGGGGGGGGGATTTTGAGAGATGTCCAACCATGACTTTTGCATATTGAGCAGCCTCGTCAGTTGATGCTACACTGTGCTTTTCACGCCGCGACGGTTATCGGCAGTGATGTGTGCCGTATTGCGTAACATGATGGTGCTTTCTGTCTTATGGTTTACAGATGAGACTTTAGGAATAGTGGTGTCATTTTGTGTTTTCTGACCAAAACTAAGCTAGCGATGTCGCCTTGTTCTTTTTAACAGAACGGGTGTTTTTGACTGATGTGCCACGAGGTTTTTATCAGTTCATTTTAACATTTTGTACTCGTGATGTATCTTTTCCAGCTACAAACGGCACAGCCCTGCTCTCAGAAAATGGGGGTTGAAGTGCCTGCTCCAAGGTGTATTTTATCGGTGTACTGTTTTTATGTCATTGTACATATTTAATGAAATATGTATTTTAAGAAATAAAACTTTTTATACAACATTTTTTGTCCGTACATGTTTGTTTTCTCACCGCTGTAACTTTCGAGAGGACAAATATTTAACCGGCTTTAAAATCTGCAGCTTTGACCCTGATGAATGATTCTGTTACGCTCAAGTTTTAAAATGTTATATTTGGCCTGAAGCCGTTAAGTGTGTGGGAGGTGGGGGGCATGATTGAAGGGTTTTGGGGGTGTTGGGTCAAGACATTCAGAGAGGTCCTGGGATGTTTAATCTCAGTCATGTGACTCATTTCCCAGGGTTATTTCTCCCAGTGTTTTCACATTTCCAACAACTCTGGTACATGTGACTACCTTCCAACTGTAATAAAGACACACATGCAGCTGGACTGTGTAGCCTTGAAAGAAACCGGTTTGTTCAGTGTGTACGCAACACGAGAGAACGAGAGCGACTTCACACCGCAAACGCACAATAAATCGCCTAAATATTTCACACATTTGACCCTATTTGCAATAGAATTCAGTCAAAGTGCACAGATGATGTCTCATCTGAATGTGGCTCATATGTGAAGAGTTATAATCACTCCTCTGAAGAAGAGTCCTGCACTGGGGGGCTGCCGGCCGCCCCGGAGCGCTCTCTGTGTCGCTGCAACTCCAGCAGGGACTGGACGTGCAGACGCCTCAGAGGCTTCACCTCCTCCACCACTGAAAGGACAAAACTATTGTCAAAAAAATCCCTGGTAATTCCTTTTTTTTTTTTTAATGTAGCTAAACAGCATCACCTGCTGGCTTCAACAATGGTGTTTTGTTAAATCAAACGATCTGCTGTACTTGTGGCTTTTCCAAGGTTTCCTACCTTTGTCGTAGTGCAACTCGTCCCGGTTCCCGTAAACCACGTACATGTCCAGGAAGTTCAGGAGCGCGCCCGTGACGAGGAAGCGGTCGGGGAGGGGAAGGCTTTTGATGTAGCGCATGTCTAGGGCGAAGGGGTTGGAGGGAGAGGGAACGGTGCACAGACACACCAGCTCGCTGATGACGTCCCACACTCGAATACCTGAAAATCACAACAGCAGAAAACACAAGACCTAAATGCTTTTTCCTTCAAATTGTAATCGTATGTAAAAGTCTAGCAGAGTATAGTAATCTTTCTAAAGTAAAGTGCCTGGAGCTTTTTCCACAAACCTAACCCACACCAAACGGTAATCTCTAAGAAGGTTAAACATCTGTGTCTGATTTCAGCTCATGGAAAAATGTCGCAATTATCGAATCTGTGCAGCGAAACAAAAGCCCTCTCGTGTTTGGATTCCTCGCATTGTTTCCATACCTCGCGTCTGCCAGTCTGTGATGGACTTGAGTTTCATGGGCGTGTCCTTGACCATCGAATCGGTGCCTCCGATGTTGACCAGGCGCTCGTGGTTGGAGCGTATCCAGGCGTAGGGGCGCCCGTACTTGACGTAGCCGGCCAGTAGAAACAGAGTGCAGTTCACCTCCTGTTTTGGGGGACAAAGTGGAGGCCGTGAGACTGAGCGAGTTAAGACGTTGAGGGGGAAATGTAAGACCTGCTGAAGCACTCACAGGCACCGCTATCTCTCTTTCACTGGGAGAGGCTGGGAGGAGATGCTCCTCACTGCTGGGATCCCTGAGGACAGAGAGACCAGTGTGTTGGTGTCTAACTGTTCTGTTTTGGAGGTGATGTCCATCAAGATGCTGCCAACATAAGCCTGTTGCCCAATTTCAAGCTTCTAAAACATCCCAAATACTAAACACACTGACATGTTTCTTTTCCCCTCAGACACTCTCATCACCTGACAGTCTGTGGCTGCGTCTTGGTGTGTGTGCGCGACGGCGGAGGGTCTCGCGGGCCCGGAGGCTCCCCGGGCAGGGGAGAGCTGCTCCGGCTGTCCAGGCTGGGGGAGCTGCTGCTGGGGGAGACATCGCTGCTGTTACAGCTGCTGCTGGAGGAGGAGGATGAGGCTCTGGAGACCACAAAGCCTGGGGAGCGCCAACCCTGCAGGACAGGACAGGTAAGAGGGGTGATGATAATATGATAAATACTAAAATGCATGCGTTTGTTTCTCCAGAAACTAACCAGATCCTCATTAACAACTGTCAGCAGCAACTCCTCTTTCCCTCTCAGCCAAGGCTGGAAGTATTTAAAGCCCTGCAACACAAATAAGTTCATAGTTTATTAGTAGTTTTAACAGTTCGACAGAGTTAACTGTGCATTTATTCATCTCTGTGTGAGCGTGCACTGACCTGTAATGATCCAAGTAAAGCCAGGTCACTGAGGAAGTGCTGCAGCTTCCTCCTCTGCTCCCTCTCTCGTTTCTGTTTACACACAGAGGACGTAAAGGGCAACACACACATTAGCGCCAAAGCTCAATCCTCCCATCATCAGCACCCTTTTCCCGGTCTAGTATCCTAGCAACAGCGCCTCCTCGCAGCATCCACCGTCTATAAAGACTCGCGATAGGCCGATTGGACGATGCACAATAGCCACAATGCAGTTTAATAATGCATCAGGCAGACAAATATAATGAAAAGCCTGCAGCTGATAAAAGAGCACGTTATGAAGGAAACCGAACTCACGCTGCCGCTGCTCATCTTGTACCAAATTGCAAACGTCGTGTCCTCCACAGGCGACCATGGCGTGTTATATTCTAACACCTTACATGTTGTTGGACATGATTCATATATTAGCTGCTCCGGTGATGCCTTTCTTACGCACAGTCACACAGACGGGTGTTGCCTCCTCGACGTTCACCGTCTCAGCATGAAGTCGGTTTGGTGATGGGGTCGTGAGGCCCCTAGTGGCCATGTTGGAGGACTACAGGTTGAAGCTGCAATCTGGCAGCAAGGATGATACGGTTCACTTTGTTGAGGCAATGCAGTGTTACCAGTGATCACATAGCGGGGAGACGCACCAGGCATTGTTTTCATCACTGAACAATTTGGGATTTTGACTATTTGTCTTCTTTCAGACTAGTGGAAAGAAAGCATCCAAAATACACATTTCTGTGTTTATTTGAAGTTTGTAGATTTCTCCTAAATTCAACAAAAGTTGTTAGATAATGCCTCATTTGCATATTTAAACTTAACATTTTAGGAAACTTGTAGTTAAGGAAATATTTCTCAAGTTTCATGATGTATTTTAGTTATTTTTCCACCCTATTCTCCTGTATCATCTTGCAAAATATATGTAATTTTACAGTAGATATCTCCATTTGAGTAGCACTTACATAGACACAACTTTACAGTTTTATTCCCATCTATATTCTGAAGGTTTTTACATACAATGACATACTGTCGACAGTATTTTCAGATACAAAGGTATTCAAAATCCCAAAATGTATTTTTGGCCCCAGAGTCATCAGTTGTCAGACTAGCGTGGCCTAGTAAAGTATAATTAGTATACTTAGGTCTCTGTATTTAAAGAAATTGTTTGACATTTTGTGGCACTTAACTCCCTGTGAAACCAACCAATAGGTTTTTATAGTTGAATTCAATACATGAGATATTATGAAAATTATTGACACTTAATTCTGTGTATTTATTCCATTCTACACCATGTATACATTTCTCATCTATAATTTAATACAAATCTCCAATATCAGACTAACTTTACCGTGTTGTTGGTTGGCCAGTGAAGTCAGACATTTGGACAAACATGACAAAAAATAATCACTTTATTCAGTGCGAGTCAACAGCCGACAACGTATCAGTGCTTTTCAACGAACGAACACAATGTGCAAAAATAAGTAATAATTAACAGTGTAGCAAAAGATCAAATATTTAAAAACATTATCATCTTATGTGTAAAGATCGGCTGTCTTCACAGAAGACGGTTCCCCCTAAAAGCTCCTGGAGGCAAAGTGAACGAAGAAGGTCCTGATCTCTTTGGGCGAGATGGTCACAGTGAACGCCTGGTCTCCGCCACGACGATACCTTTTGTTGTCTGAGACGAAGAAAACACAAACAACAAGGTATGTAAAGGGATGAGGAGACTCATGTTGTATAGAGTGTACATATTAAAGTCTTTCTCACATGTTTTTTCGTCATCTACAGTCTTCCACTTCCACCTCTGCAGACAGGTGATATCCCAGGTTCCTGTCAGAGAACGCTCCTCCAGCTCTTTCACTTCCCCTATGCCCTGCAGGACTTCCTGCTCACACAGACAATAACCACTGAAAAAGAAGAAAGATGATCCGAGGCTTTCCTCTTGCAATAATATGACATTAATACAGAGAAAGTATTTTTCTTGCACCTTCAAGTTTATTGTGACTGGCTTTGAAAGCTCAGGGTCTTCTCCCTCCTCAAAGAGATGCATGATTCTCAACAGGACCCGATCGTAGTCCGGCTCCGAGTGCAAATCCTTACCTAGATGTACATCACACAACAAAACTAAATACACGTTTCAGAAGTGAATCCCCAGACAAATCAGAGAGGACTTTAAAACCTCACAATAGAACCCCCCAGTATTTGCCTGAGTTTAAGCGGCTGAGGTGAACATCGTGATCAGAGCTGTAGCTCCATCCGGGGATGCTGAGGCTGAGCAGGTGGAGGTTGGGCGGCAGGAGAACCGAACGCACGGGAGAACGTTCTCTGGGTTCCTTCTCCTTCCAGGATCTCTCTAAGTGTGCATGAGAAAAACTGCTAAAAAAAAAAACCCAACCCAAAACGAAATTCTTGATGCCACGCAGCCCTAAAAAAATGACTCACGAGGTTGGTCAATGGGCATGATGACAGGTCTGTGCTGCAGCTCTATTGCCTCCCTCTGGTAGAGCTTGGAGGTGACAGCGATGGAGCCCAGCAGCATCCACAGGGCGGGCCTCACCACCGAGCTGTCGTTGAGGGTCAGGTTGTAGCCGAGGTTCCAGGGCACGTTGTTCCAAAGACGGCGGTGGAGCATGACCTGACACACCGGACGTTAACGTATGTGCGAGTACACACCATATGAGAAATATGAGTTGCGGGCCTTTTGGTACCTCTAATTGTCCGTCGGCTTGGCTGGAAACACCGTGAGCTCTGTCGCTGACGAGCACCAGTCTGCCGAGCTCATCCTCAATATAGGCTGCCCGAACCATGGGGAAGTAGTTCTGCAACATGCACATTCACATACTTTAACGTCCGGTGTGTCAGATATATAT